AATGGGGATTTTGGTCTCTGAGTCTGCAGTTCTATTTAGAATTCATAGCATTTGCAATATCTTTTATATGAATCCTATACATTAATATATCAAGAATTTGGAAATAGATAAATTACTGAAGACGTCTACTACCATAGATTAATGGTCCCTATTTTTGCATATAAGAGAAATAAAAACGCACTCCAAATGTACTTAGAGATCTTGTTTTTGCTTCGGATCACATCTTTCATGTCATTATCTTGAGCATAATTGCCATGGCAGTATTGTATTTAATTGTGTGAATATGAGACACATTTTTTAATCCATTCAGATGGATATTAGGATAGTTTCCAGTGTTAGTGTATATCAAGTAGCTCTTCTATTATCAGTGTACTTCCAAACATAAGTGTTTATGTTTATCAGTATACATATAAATGATGGCTACATTATCCTGTCTTCTGATTGTTAAATCTACACACGAAATAAGAATATTTTAGATGTATTATTTTTTCTGGGAATAATTTCTAACTTATTCTTATTTATAGATGGTAATTTCCTGTTCAAATCATTTCTCTCCTATTTGCTCAATTAATTTTTGACTCATTTTTGAACATATATTTGTGTGTGGAGGATATGTGTATGTGTGTGTATGTGGAGGTCAGAGTTTGGCACTTGTTTTCTTCCTCAATCATACTCCATCTTTTTTAGAGGCAAGTTTCTCCCTGAACCTAAAGCTTACCAATTAGACTATATCGCCTTGCCAGAGACCTGAAGACACCCACCTGTCTCCATCTCAAACTATCAGTGTTAGTATTACAAATGAGCATAACTGCACCTAGCATCTACAGGGGTGCTGAAGATCTTAACTAGGTCATCAAGTTTATGCTGAGCCACCTCCCCAGTCCGTTTCTTTGTTTTGTTTTATATTTCTTATTTTGTTTGGCTTTTAATTTTTGAGACAGTCTCACATAACCTTGACTGGTATCAAATTCCTTATTTAGCTAAGGATAATGGTGAACTTTTGATCGTCCAGCCTCTACCCACCAAGTGCTGGGATTACAGGTGTTCACTGCCATATACGGCCATTAACAATTTAAAGTCCTTGTCCATAAACTCTGATATCTGGATCACCTGTAGGTCAATTTTTAAATCTTGGTTTTAGATCATATGGCCCTGCCCATTCATATGTATTATTTTTTATTTAAGTCTAAGCCTGGTGTATAAAACTGTAGAGTTTCCAGGTGGAAGCCACTTTGCTAGCATAGAGGCTTCAAGGTTTCCCTGCTATGCAGGCACTGTGCAATGATCACCTTATTTCTATAAAGGATTGACATGGATTACAGTTCAGTTTTGATTGAATAGAATGTGTTTCTGCTCTTACCTTGTAGTTATGACATAGTTCTCTAAGATTTAAAACAGCGTGATGATTGCTGTCATCCTCTTTGTCTGTACCGTCATCGTCATCCTCCCTCTCCTCCTCCTCTTCTCTTTCTCTCTCTTATTCTTTCTTTTCTCCCTCCCTTCCTCTTCTTCTTCCTCCTCTTTCCCCTCTCTTCCTTCTCTTCCTCCTTTTAGCACTAAGAAACTACAAAAAAATGTAACTTTGTTTTTTCATGTTTTTCACATTAGGTTTTGGTCTGATGCTCTGTTCTTGGGGATGAATATCATTCAAGGTGTGAACCATGATGAGAATTAGCAAATGCTCCCAGGTATAGAGAAACCATAGGCCTTAAGTTAATCTGTGAAAGGTTGTCTCATTTCTCCAGAGGAGACTCTTCAATCCTTATCACTTCCACAGTTGGTGTTTTTTCCAGTTGTTAAGGTTTTAATATGGGAGTAGTGACTGCTGACTGACAACTATATCTTCTACAGAAATGAAGTGGTACTTATTAGATCATGATTCTGTCACTTTATGATGCTGGTCACTCCAAGACATCAGATGCTCAGTCTGGAGAAATCAGGCGACTCTTCCCTACTGCTCTGGTCTCTACCTCCTGAAGATGTGTTATAAACTTATAAATAAGTATTCTTTCTTATCTTGTTACTCTGCTCCTAGCAAACAACTCTGATACCTATCCTGAAAGTGGCTCAGAGATATGGTCAGGCTCCCTACCTACCTGGATTCCTATTCACATTCATATTCTCTCTCTCTCTCTCTCTCTCTCTCTCTCTCTCTCTCTCTCTCTCTCTCCTCTGTAGGTCCCTCAAGCCCTGCCATGATGCTCATGATATTAATCGTGCTTACTCATTTATTTTACAGCGATGATTGTCACAACAAACTATAGCAGTGCAGTAGTGGCACTTTTATCTAGGGGGTAATCAATATCTATGTAACTGAATTTAAGCCCTCTCAATGGAAGGGAACTCATGGATGGTACTGTAAACACAGTCAAATATACATGGCTGTAGAGGTCTTAGATCCTAGAGAAAACCCTATCTCTGTCATATCCCTACATAAATGTAATTTCTTACTGTATGCTAAATATTGATCCTTATATTTACAGACACATACACCATTCACAACTCATCAAAGAAGCTTCTTTTGTAACAGATGGAGGCTGTTACAGAGTTCCAAAACTGGTCAAATACAGAGAATGTGTGTCTGTGAGATTCCCAGACCTAAGTGACACATCTACAGTAAAACCTCTGCACCTAAGGCTCATGGAACATAAACTCTCTCAATGAAGCTCTTCTCTTAGTTTTCAAGGGAAACTTTTCTTTCCCTTTAAGGCCCTGTCATGTTATCTCTGATACATGCTCTATCCTTCCGAATTGCTCTCCCACCTCAAGACTTGATAATGGCCCCCACGAGAGTGAGGCTCTTCTCTTTCCTGATAAAGTTCATTTCAGAAGGGTAATTTCATGTCATCTCCTTTCCCTAGCCTGCTGTTCTGATTTTTAACACTACTCATCTCCATTAACAGTGAATTCATTAAGATGAATGTCTCCAAGATACACCTGAGTTTTCTTATAATAATACCCACCTAATCTGACCAAGGATCCAGCTGTAGCTATTTTCACAACATATCCAGAATTAGAGTGCTTCTCATCACTTTTTCCACTATAACATGTAGATTGAGCCATCATCATTTCATTAATATATCTCATCTAAAGCAACACAATATTCACTTAACTAGACTCCTTAATTCTACCTTTTCTTTTGTTAACAAGTTTTATAATCCTAATACATTTTTTGCAAAAATCATATATGATAATACCAATCAAAATATTCTACTCAATCCCCATTTTCCCTCAGAATATAATCCAGAGACCTTTAATATCCTAGAAGATTCTAGAGGATCTTGTCACTTTTACTTCTCATCTCTTCCTTATGTAGTTACCCTTTGTCCCGCTGGACAGCCACATTAGTGGCTTATGGAACCAGCCAAATACTTTTCTGATATAAGATTCTCTGAGCACTTAGGACAACATTTCTTCAAATACCTGTATCATTTACGCCTTACCATCATAAAACCGTCTGGTCTAATTCACTTTTTGAAAGATTTTTCATTGATAGCTAATAATGACCTCCATGTATAGGGCATATATTTCAAACATGTATATAATGCAATAATTACCATAGCCATCCTTTGCAATATTTATTATTTCTTTGTGCTAGGAACATTAAAAATCTTCTCTTTTAGGCATTTTGAAATATGCAGGTCATTCTTATATATTAGAATCACCCTATTGTGCTATAGAACAGTATAAGATTCCTCCTATTTAACTGCATTGTGGTACCTGTTTGGTACCCATCTCCCTATCATACCGACATGTACATTTTTTCTAATAAAGTAAACCTATTCACTTTGTTCATCATTTTGGAAACACCAAACACCCTCCCCCTAGGCCTGACTCATTCTCCTTATTCTGCAGTACTTCAGTGGTTACCTCTGCTTATCCTCATTTTATAGCCTACTTATTACTTTACTTTTAGTCATTGTTTATTTTGTATTTCAATTTCGAATTCTCCTTAATAATACAAGCTCCAGAAGGCCAGGATGCATTCCAAGCTCCCAGAAGAGAGGCTGGCACACAGGAAACAGTCTGCAAATATTTGACAAACTAATGATTGATAAAATATGCCACACATAATTATTTGAGTCTTTTCAAATTCGGTTTCTATTTCAAAACACAGAGCTCAATCTAATCTAGATGTGATCAACACAGATCTTGATACATTACTCTGATAACTAGATACATAACTTACTCAGATATTCTTATTTTCAGAAACAATTCTATTCCATTTTGACTTTTGTAATTCATATGGAAATGGAATATATCTTTACTATCTTCTCTGTAAAATTTATAGCAACTGTGAAAGGCAATACTCTAAAAAATTAGAACATCTCCAAAACTGTGCTTCCATTTGCCATTTATTGTTGAGAACCGGATAGGATAATGTGAAGATGCAGGTAAAATGGATGTTTCAATAAACATGATGCATTCTCTTGTCCTTATTAAGCTGAAACTGTAATGCTTATCCATATTTTCTTTTTTTAAATTTTGTTTATTTATTTAATAGTTTATGTGTATGAGTATATTGCCTGCATGTTTGTAAGTGCACACATGTCGTGCAATGTGCATAGAGGTCAGAAGGCGTTGGATCCCCTGGAACTACAGTTATGAATGGTTGTTAGCCACCATGTGGGTGCTGGGGACCAAACCCGGGTCCTCTACAAGAATAGCCAGTGCTCTTAACTTTTAAGCCAACTCTCCAGCTGCTTATCAGTACTTTCTTGCTCTGTCTTCCAGGAAAGTTTGGGAATAAATGTCTCCATTAGTCCATCTAATGACATAAATTACTATGAAATAGTGGAATAAGGTTTATTATTTATACAAAAACCTGTTAAAACCTAAGTCTATCCCTCTTGATCAGTTGGGACTACTTGAGCCCACTCTCCTGGTCCACTCCATAGCAGCAAGGATTAAAGTCAGTATGAGGAACATCTAGGGAACAAAATGGAATATATTACTTCTCTTTTGGAAGATCAGACAAAAAAAACTCAGAAAGTACGTACAGCTTCCAAATTTCAGTGGGCAGGCATGCACATCCATGGGAAAGTCTTCTAAATGCATAGGACACTCGGCATGGATTGTTAATCTAAGAGAAAAGAGAGCAGAAAATGAAATCTAGCCAACAGAAATGTTATTAAAATAAAGTTCAGTTTCTAGTCAACAACAATGGAATGTTCCTGAGAATAACATGGAATTTTGCTTATTTATTTTCTGTGAGAATGAAGTCTCTATGAACACAGAAGATGTTTTCAATGAAGTAGATAGTTTCTCAAAGCAGCACCCATTACTGCTTATATTTAGAACTGATCACAATTAGAAAAACACCAGACAGGAGAGATGTGTGAAAGATTATACTTGCCACAATAGTGAACACATAGAAATATGAATCTGTTGCTCACAGAAACTGTTACAGCTTTGCTGAGCAGAGTAAGCTGTAGGAGAACACACACCAACTAACCACAGATGCACTAATAGGAGAGATCATGCTTGGATTCTGCAGTGGAAATATGGATGAGGTATGATTTATCATATTTGCATATGCATTTCTCTCCATTAATTTATCTGTCAAAATAATCCATTTCTAGATTTCCTTATGAATTCTTGCCAATCTTTCAAGGCTGAACTTTCCTTGGCCCCCACAGTATTCTTTTATGTAAAAATAAAACTTTCACAGCAAACACGTAGAGTTGTTTCACAACAAGCTTAGTTAGTAATTTATATACAGGCTTTGTATACGTCCTGCATATGTTGGACATGGTTTCTTCCATCCTTTTTAAGTTTCCCTAACTTGACAAGCTGGTAATCTATTTTGATTTCTTTCAGTTTCCCAATACCTTTCTCCTTTAGTCAAGCACTTTTTTATACCTTCACAGGACCTAATTTCTCCTTGGGATCATAATTTCTGCTTAATAGAATATAAACATATCACAAAGAGGAATGTCTCACTTCATACCAAGGCACTAGAGGTCTGTAAGGAATCCTAATCCTAAGTGAAGAGTCTCCATTTCTCTGTCTTCTTAACTCCAGTGTTACTGTAACATGTCTGCTAGCAAGATCCCAGGAGAAGCTCCCTGGGCCACTGTTGCCTAACGTGGTTCATTTTGTTTGGTAAAAGTGAGATACCAGGAGATATTCATTTTTAAAGTTAAATACATACATCTAGGAAGGTAGTTCAGTGTGCAATTATTAGCAGTATAATAATCATTGTTAAAAACCCATGATATTCACAGCATGTTATAATTTCAAAAGTACATTCACATTTACCAATCCCATGCAGGTGTGCTGCTAACACTTGTGACAAAGAGATCCTGGCTGCCTAGGACAAAAAATGCTATTCACTGCATTTTCTCCCCCATGGTGACCCTGTGGGGAGTACACAAGCATTATTACTATCCTTATTTCAGAAACAAGAATTGAAATAGTTTGTTATTTTCTCACACACACAACCTGGAAGACTGGAGTGCAAGTTACGAGTTCTTGATATATGTTACCTTCTATACATTTGAGACAATCTATTAATCAGCTGAGAGATGCTTTAATTATCTATAGTCACCACTGGGTAAACATTTCCTACATAGAAGGTAGTTGTGCGAAAATACAAAGAAAACATGGAAGAATCAGAGGCACACGAGCTGTAATTTTTGTCCTCACCGCAACTACTGGTATAGGAGGAGAAAAATGATACCTACTTATTTGGTTAACACATTAACACTGAACAGTAGTTGGGAACATTAGCCTGGGTGCAGTCAAGATTTTTTCAGTTGAAGGGGTCCTAATAGTATGAGTCTACTTCTAAGAGCCAATGAAAATAACACAGCAACCTGTGGCTGGCAATAAATCATGCCCCCCGCCACGTACATATGATTTTTCCTTTCTGCTCAGGAGTGATGAGCAATAAATGGCTAGAAAGGCAGATAAGAAAGTTTTTATAGATCAGTTCTGCTTCTAATAAGAAATCCCTACCTTTGCATCTTGCCTTTATAATCTATTTGTTGTGGTCTTATTCTCTACATCCTGAAGGCTGGTGGGTAGACATAAAGCAATTTCCCCTTGACATTACTCATAAGAGGCAGTATCTTGGAAATAATAATGTAAGTGGAGAGAAAGAACACAATTTTCTTTATTAAACCCTCATGGAAACTTTTCAGTATCCAGCACAAGGAGCAGATTTCTCCGTGTCGGATTCTTTGCATTTCTCTTGTGTCAGGTTCTTTGGATCATGGAACTCCCTTTATGTCTTAAAAATAAAGGTCAGAAGGGCCGGGCATGGTGGCGCACAGGAGACAGAGGCAGGTGGATCTCTGTGAGTTTAAGGCCAGCCTGGTCTACATAGTGAGTTCCAGGACAGCTGGGGCTACAGGGAGACCCTGTCTCAAAAAGGACAACCATCTGTAACTCCATTTCCAGGGGATCCAACACCCTCTTCTGACCTCCTTGAGGATTGTATGACAGGGGTGCACTCACACACATGCAAGCAATACACTCATACACATAAATATACCAAAAAATAAATAAATAAAATTTAAAAAATAAAGGTCAGATTGGTGGGTTATTACAGGATGGCTTGAGAATTGAGTTTTTGTCCAAGACACATGTGAAATTTTGTAAATATCTAAGGGATTAGTAAGAGCCACAAGAGTCCTTGTCATCATCTAGTTTGAACCTCATGTTGCTTAAATGGCATACTGAAAATAACAAGTGGGTGGTATTTGCTGAAGGCCACATACCTAGATGAGCTTAATGTCTAGAAGGAATCTCATAAATGTATAGTCCACTCCAAACACAATTCATAAGGTCCTCTGGAAGGTGCTACAGGTACCTAAGGGGTACCTTAAGGGGGACCCTAAGTTGAATCAAAAATTATAAGCAAGGTGAAGTAAAATCTAGCATTCCAAATAATATTACATGTGTTAAAACAGAAAAGCATGTACCAATTTGGTCTACTTTAGGTAATAGATTGTGCTGCAGAGGGGATGAGGCTGGAGCCAGCACCTTCAGAGTGATGGGCATCACACTAAGCACAATCAACATTTTAGATCTGGAAATATTTGGGAGAGTCTGATTGGAGGCTTAAATTCATTTAGGGGACTGAGATGAAAGTATTCTTGCCTTACTATAAGCACTATTTACTTTATGAGATAACTAGTATGGGCTCGAAAAGTCCAATTTAATTTATGTGGCTTTGGGCTGATTCCTTTGGGGAGAAAGAAATGAGTACAATCAAGTTACGAGGGTGCAAACTGGAAGATCAGCAGTATAGATGGAAAGAAGACAGTAAAAACATTTAGGAAGAAAACCGAATCACATTTTGTTTATAGGTTGGACTTTTGTCAACTTTAGGTCCCTCAACCGTAAAAACAAACAGAAAATAAACCCCACTCTTACATAACCTTTACATTCCACATTTATTTCCTCAACAGCTTCATGATTTCTAGGGTGCTGCATCACACAGCAGAACAAAGAAGTTAAAAGACTGTATTTACTCCAGAGGACAAACCCATCTTCGGTAGGTTTACCATAAACAGAGAACAATTACAGAGAGAAAGAGAGGAGGGAGAGGGACATGGAGGGGCGAAGAGGGGAGGGGATGGAAGGGGGAGTCTAGTGTTGAGAGAGAGAGAGAAAAACAGACAGAGACAGAGAGACAGAGAGAGAGAGAGACAGAGAGGAGACCTAAGAGATGAGAAATGCAGAAGGAGAGAACAAGGCAAAATCAGAATCTTTAGGCGAAATGATTGTCTTTGACGTCACATCATTAAGATTACAAACTCTACACATTTTCTTCTCTTGTCCTGACTCCTTTTTAAAACTTTCTCCTTGTGGACTGATTTTTGGAGCTCTGCTAAGCCTAGTTTAATTTTTACTACAAATTTGTAATGGGCTTTTCAAAACTAAAGATCAGAGACTCCTCAAAGTGTAAGAATGATATCATAAGATTTCAGTCAGTATCCAGGAATTGGCGGCTTTTATTTGTATATAAAGACCAAATAGTAAATGGAGATAATCCAGGAGATGCTTTTCTTTGGGGGAGGCAGATGCAGATGGGATTCCAAAACCCTTTTCAGTTATACCTTGCAGAGGTATGTACACACACACACACACACACACACACACACACGCGCGCGCGCGCGCGTCATTGTCCCTATTTTACGTTCTTTGTGGCATTCTGGCTCCTTTGTCACTGGATCAATCCTTCACTGCTATTTCAAAAATAAAATCTCAGGGCTGGAGAGATTCTCAGCAGTTAAGAGCACTGGTTGTTTTTGCAGAAGACCGGGGTTTGAATCCCAGCACCCACATGGCAGCTAACAACTATCCGTAACTCCAGTCCCAGGGGATCCGACAGCCTCTTCTGACATCTGCAGGCATTGTACGACATGGGTATACTTATCTACATGCAGGTAATACACGCATATACATAAAATAAAAATAATAAATAAAATTTATAAATAAAATAAAATCTCATCACAGTAACTTCATGTCCTCCTGACTCGTCATTCTGCTTACCTCTCTGGGTCACTGGGCTCCACCTGTTTCGAACTACCAGACTCTTTGACACTTTGGCATTTGCATTTTGCCATACTATCTGCCCAAAATGTTCTCCTTTCAAATATCCTGATATCTAATTATTTTCTGCCATCACAGTTCTATTTGTTATAGACTAAATTTTGGCCTAGATTTTAGCCATTCAACCAAGAAAAGCCTCTAGTTGAACAGACCGGTAAATCCCATCTGAGGTACAGCTCTTCCTTTCTCACCAGTATTTCCTGCACTTTTTTCAGATCTTTCTAATTACCATTTTCTGCATGAAGCTCTCATTAAAATTCCCTCAGTTTCCCACATCCACCCTACAGATAATAAACTTTTCCATACTATTTCTTATATCATAGCTCCTAAGACAAACTATGACATGGATTTTATCTTTCTATTCATGATCGGTTTTCTTTTTTTTTTCGTTACTATGAGTTAGGAATCCTTATCTTTTTTTGGTGGGGGGGGGGAGGTATATGCCAAGAGTTTAGTGCAATAACTAAACACAATATAGTTGTCTAATGCATATGTATTAACTGAATTACTGGATGTCTT